GTACAACAGTAGGTAAAATGGACTGTAATTGTGATCTGATAGTGAATGGGCACTGCAGAAGGGACTCCATGATTGATATGTTTTCCTGTGACTTTTTTGGTCTTTCTTAGTGTAAGTCTCTTATTTTCATCTGCAGAAAAAAAGAGACCAGTGCCTAGTTGTAGTGTTTCTGATAGGATTAAGTCCAGAAAGGGCCAGGAAGCTAGGTACAAGATTTATCTCTACCAAAGTTCACATTCACTCCTGGGCTTTTTTTTTTTTTTCCCCCTAGACACACATTTTCAGGCACATCTGATTGGAGAGTAAATAATGACGGAATGCCTGTTATGTACAGGGCCTGGCGCTGGAAGTACAACACTACAATTTTGATAAACAAAAGAACGTAGACCCTGATGCCGTCGTTCGTATATTCTATTGAATTTATCTATTATAGCTATTGATACCAGAGGACATTAAACAATTAACCGAACAATAATTACTAAGGATTACCTATTATTTATTAATTACTTAGTAATTCTGAAAAAGTCATACTTCAGGGGGGTTTTAGACATACAAGGCACTGAACCAGTTTGAGGAGATTAATGGAGACCCTAGGAAGGGACATTTGATCTGAACCTTGAAAGCTGAGTTTGTATTACCATCTCCCGTCTGTCTTCATTCTTTTTTATTTTCCAGCCTTCTTATACCTCTCTTTGCCCTCACCAACCACCTGGGTTATAATCATCTTTCACTTACAAGCTACTGAGATATAGCTTGTAAAGAGTGGTAAGATGATACTGTTTACAGCCTCCTTCAATCCAAGAATGAAACTCTTAAAGGACAAACAGCTTACTTTTTACTGGATCAAGATTAGAGAAAGCTGTCTTTCACAAGTCAAATTTAGTACCTTGTTTTTTTGTGTTTTCAGCAACTCAAGCATCCCAACCTTGTCAACCTTCTGGAAGTCTTCAGGAGGAAACGGAGGCTTCACCTGGTGTTTGAATATTGTGACCACACAGTTCTCCATGAGTTGGACAGATACCAAAGAGGGTGAGTGATCCATCCCTTACAAACAAAACAGAGACACACTGGGATTTGTCAGTGAAAAGTGGCAATGATTCTTTTTAAGACTAGGTAAGGCCAGGGATGGTGGCTCATGCCTGTAATCCCAGCACTTTGGGAGCCTGAGATGGGTGGATCATCTGAGGGCAGGAGCTCAAGACCAGCCTGGCCAACATAGTGAAACCCCATCTCTACTAAAAACACAAAAATTAGCTGGGCGTGGTGGTGGGTACCTGTAATCTCAGCTAGTCGGGAGGCTGAGGCATGAGAATCGCTTGAACCCGGGAGGCAGAGGTTGCAGTGAGCCGAGATTGCGCCATTGCACTCTAGCCTGGGCAACAGAGCGAGACTCTGTCTGAAAAAAAAAAAAAAAGACTAGGTAAAAACAGCCAGTGTTTGGACAATATACTCTGCTGCTGAAGTGGACAGCAGAAAAATTACCAAAAATGTTAACAAAAGAGATAATAAATAGTCATTTTAATGAAGAAGCCAGCAGAAGCATCATTAGATTGAACTTGATTTCTTTGGTACTTTATCTCTGCATAGAAGTGATCTCAGTCTCTAAGAAAAGGAAGGATATTAGTTAGTCTGTGCCTGACCAGGGAGGTAGAAGGGCTTGGAGATTGAAAGGAAGATTCCAAAAGCAATGGCTACTAGGAAGTTTGAGACTAAAACAAACATAGTATTTCATCAGAAACAATCTGGGTGTCTAGTCTGCTGTATTACTCGGGATTTCTTTGGTTCCAGGTGACAAAAACCCAACTGAAGCAAGCATAGGTGAAACACAATTGTGTTGTGACTGTAACTGGGAAAGGTGGGAGTGACTCCAGGGACTCAGCTGATCTTACCACACATCTCTCTCTAGCATATGCAACATCTTTGCATGCATTGGAAGAAGACTTGGCAAACAGACAGAGGCTTTGTCTGAGAAAAAGAAAAAAGGAGGAGGGGGTCCCTTCCTGCAGTTGAGGGCAGCCTCTTGCAGGGTGAGAAGACTGGATTCCAGCTCCCACCCACTCCTCAGCTGGGTGTTTTCAGGCAGGGCAGCATAGGTAGTGCCTGTTCTTTCTCTCGCTCTCTCCCAGCCCTAATTCTTTTTCATTGTGCCTTGCAAATAAGCTTCCCTTATGTGGTGGATTCGGGAGGGCATGTGGGTGGCATGGGATGGAAGGAGTTTGGAAGGGAAAAGTACAAAATAGAAAGCATGGCCACAGGCTTATATCAATCAATATAGCTGTTCTAGAAGAAAGGAAGTTCTAGAAGAAGGTAACATCTGCACATTAAGTCCAGTGGAACTCCGATTGGCTAAGCTCAGGTGACACAACTGTCCCTGGGGCCAATTACTGTGGCTAGAGGAAGAGGACGGAATGATTAGCAGGTCCTGGGAGATATTATTCAAAGAAGGCTTCATGGTGAAGGTGGCCTTGGAGTTGAAAGGGGAAGAGACTTTAGATAAGGTAACCAGGGATGAAAAATATCCCATCCTTTCCTTTTTTGGCTGTGTTCCTGGGAGCCCAACTTTGGCTGGGGACAATATGAAGAGTAGATTATAGATTAGAGCCACAGAATGGTGTCCCATCCCATGGAATGTGAATGGCTCCCATTCACACTTCAGTGGCTGGAGGCTGAGGCTCCTCCAACAACTCTTTCAAGTCTTTGCCAGGGGCTTGCTCTGCCACGTGGTGATGGTTATATATGATCTGCCATGACCTTCAGGCAAACAGAATGGAAGTGGCTTGTGGTTTGATAGTGACCATAGCACAGACTTTTCATGTTTCAGAATGTTAATTTACATAGCCAGAGAGAGCCAAGAGGACAGACACCTCCCTTCAGAAAGTCATCGATACAGAGAAATTATGTTTTCAAAGGAGAAAACATTTCGTATGTTGATATTTGATCTTTTGACGGCTTGCAAGTGACACTTCAATTAAACTTATTAATATAAGTTACTCATGGCTATGTGGTAGCAGAGGGATGTTATAGGGAATTTGATTAATCATGTCGAATGAATTGGGAACACTGATTTGTGGGAGTCAAAAGCAATGGAAGTCAGCTCTTTTTTTTTGGCATATAGTTTGAGCAGAATAAAAAGGGTGATTACAGTTTGAAAGCAGATTTTTAAAAACTCCACTGGCTAAAATATGTTATATATGTTCCAGGAAACAGAAAATGCTTTAATATGGGAGTGGGAGAAAACAGAAAGACCTATAGGTAAATGTGTGGTTAATTAGAAGCAACCTCATTTCCAAATGGTAAAATGCTATGGTTTGCCAAATATAAGATTTACTTAAGGAAATCAGCCCCCGGCAGGCCTCAGTGTGCGTTGTTCCCCTCCAAGTGTCCATATGTTCTCATTGTTCAGCTCCCACTTATAAGTGAGAACATGTGGTGTTTGGTTTTCTGTTCCTGCATTAGTTTGCTGAGGATAACAGCTTCCAGCTCCGTCCATGTCCCTGCAAAGGACATGATCTCATTCCTTTTTCTGGCTGCATAGTATTCCATGGTATGTATGTACCACATTTTCTTTATCCGGTCTATCATCATGTGAAAACTTTTTATTTTAGAGACATCATACTATAAAATAAAATTTTGTAAGCACATTCACAGTAAAGGTGAGTTAGCATTATCTGTGTGACCTTGGGCAAATTGCTTACAGGTGTCTTCACCTGTAAAAATGAGAGTTTAGGACTAGGGAAAGTTTAAGGGACTTCTAGATGTATAATGCTATGAATTGGTGATCAAGTACCCTAGGGGTCAGAAGACTTCGGTTATCTTTCAGTTTCATATTTGATCTATTAGACAATATCAACAAAGGATAAGCTACTGATGCTGGTGTTGTCAGATTGGGTTACCAGCCTGCTTGGTGCCAGGTGGGGTCCCCTTAGGTTAGTATACTCACCCTCAGAATGCCCTGTGATCACTTCTTATATTTCTAAGTACAGATTTCTAAAATACAAAGTTGAGCATGCTACCCTCTACACAGAATCCTTTAATAGCTCCCCAAAGCTTACTGGTATGGGGAAATACCCCCAGCATGAGATACAAGATCTTACTCTACCACCCCACTCCCCACCAGTTTGCCCATAATACATGGCCCGTCCTACCAAATTGCTTGCATTCTAGGGTTCAGGACATGCTGTTTGCTTAGCAAGCATGGGTTTCCCTACTTCCTCTACTCTGCCTGGAAAACTCCTGCTGTCCTTACAGCTCACATATGACTCCCTTATGATGCCTGCCAGCACACTGGCCTCTATAACATCTTCTGGGATTATTTATTTACATATCCCATTTGCCCAGTAAACTATACAATCCTCAAGGGCAAGAGCTGGGCCTTCCTCACCTGTGTATTCTCAGTGTCTTCTAGCTGCATATTTGGTACTTGGTACACTCAGTACTTGTAGAATGACTGAATTAGCAAACCAATAAATTGATAGTTACAAAATGATTTTGAAGAAGAATAATCATAACAAGGTTTGGATTTTCATTTTAAACATCACTTTGATTTAAAATTTCTAAAGCCTAATATTGTCAAAAAAGATTATGAAGTACACTGCTGGAGCAACCTGTCCAGAAGGCAATTTGGCAATCAATGTATGGTATTAAAAGTCTTAGAGGCATTATCTTAAACCCAGCAAGTCTACTTTGAATGATTCACCATAAGAAAATATTTGAATATATGTGCAAAAACTTAGTTACAAAAGTATTTATTGTTATGAGATATTTTTAAGTATTGTTTATGAAGAAAAAATTGCCATCAACTGAAATATCTAACAATAGAGAATTAGTTAAGTAAATTATGATAAAGTTTTATGATAGAATACAGTGGACCCAGTAAGAATAATGCTTATATTAATAGATAAAACATATATTGACATAGGAAAAAGTTCATGAGTGCTTGTCAAATGAAAAAAATTATACTCTAATAAAAATACGTATCATTTCATTTTCGTAGAATTTATATGTAGATGGGAAAAAGTAATAAATCTGAACATTACTAGTGATTAGTTATGATTGTTATTGATATTTTTCATTTTATTTGTGCTTTTATATTTTTCATGTTTAATTTATTACTATAGTAATGTTTTAATGTTTAGTTATTAAAAATAATTCTTGCCAAATCAGACTCAAAGACTTCTCATTTGAACCTGAAATGGACACTAATTCATCTTCTTATTAACATGCTTGTAACTTCTGGTACTCCCTTGGAAAGCTTTTGGAGAAGATCCAACTTCATGTTGCTACTAACACAAGCAAGTTTACACCACAAGATATGTATCCTGTTACAGTAACATGAATACATGTCAATTATAATTCCCAGTGCTTAGGTTTATGTTTTTATAATTGTCCCCAATCACAACCATTTCTTGTCTTATATAGAACTTAAAAAGCTTTGAATCTATTATTCTATAAATGATTGATCTCCCTGTGTCAAAGTTTTACAAATAACTGGTTTGGATGTTTTCTCCTTATTTTTCTGCCTACCTGTATGTTCAGCCAGACATAAGACTTCATTGATTCTTTCCTGCACAGATTTAATTACCACCAGTTCCTTCTCTGAATAACATAGTTTGTTCAAGGAACATCTCCTGGGTAATGTACATTACCGCAAGTTTCCAGTTTCTGACAGTGAAATTCCAGAAATGTTATCTTTTATAGATTAAAAATGATACGTTGTTTGTTGCAAATTTTTAAAGCAACACAGACATTGAAATGAAGGGCTGGGGGCAGTGGCTCACACCTGTAATCCCAGCACTTTGGGAGGCCGAGGTAGGCGGATTACTTAAGGTCAGGAGTTCAAGACCAGCCTGGTCAACATGGTGAAACCCCGTCTCTACTAAAAATACAAAAATTAGCTCGGCGTTGTGGTGGGCACCTGTAATCCTAGCTACTCGGGAGGCTGAGGCAGGAGAACTGCTTGCATCTGGGAGGCGGAGGTGGCAGTAAACTGAGATAGCGCCACTGCATTCCAGCCTGGGTGACAAGAGCAA